ATTAAATAAAGCAGTGATGGTAAACTTACTTTACTACATATTTTTTTTTCTATTTCAAAACATTCAAACGTGAAAAAGTGACGATTTTGTTATTAAAACGCAAATTTGACAGTTTATCCTGCATATCGAACAAACTATCTTATGTTATTATGAGCAATGGGTGTAATATATAAACTAATACCAAGAGTTTTAATGTATGCGTGTGTTATAAAATAAAACTTAAAGTTACCGGACTGTTATATTAGAAAAGGTTGTGTTTAAACTTTACAGGTTTCACGGGTCATAAGGTGTACAGTGAAAAAAATTCGTCTCGATCGCCAAAACAATCAGATCAACAACAGCAAGTAAGCCGAAATATAAAGTTACAACATCGAACAGTTAATTCAACTCAAAGGAAACAAAAACTACATTGCTTATCGACACAATCAACCCGCAATTTGGAAAAATCCCAAAACAAAATCCCCCAATCAATCTAGAAAGTCAACGCGCGGTTTCGACAAAAATATTCCCCAGAAATTTAAAAAAAAAAATCTACCATAATCATCAGACGATAAAAACAAACTCAAACCGTTAAACCAGTCATTACAATCTACTGAAAAATCCAGTAAATCTTCAACATGTTAAAATATTCGACACGAAAGTCAACAATATCATCCACTATCAAATCAACAAACACTAAACGAAACCATCAAAAACCCATCGTCGGCAATTTTACCAAGAAACGTCAACACAATAGTCAAAAATAAATCAAAAACACATTCGACTAAGCAATCTACTACTGTTTCAACTAGCAGGGATATCTACATTGTCGACAAAAACAGTCAAGATTCCGTCAACGCAATAAACTAAAACCAGTCAGCAACAAACATTAATTAAAACAGTCTACAAACGCTTTTAACTGCAAAGATTTCAACCAAAACAATTTTAAGGTAATTTCAATCAATTTTCGTCAAAAAACAGATAACATCAAACAAAAACAGTCAAAAATAAAATTCAACAACAACATTTCGAACAAAACAATCTGCGACTGTTTCAACTAGCACGATATCTACATTGTCGACAAAACAGTCAAGGATATCCATCAACGCACACATCAACCCTAAAAATCAACAACAGCATCGACAAAACAATCAACAAGCAATCATTTAAAACATCGTTAAAAACAATCTACAACGCTTTTTACCAAAATTTCAAACCAAGCCAATCTATAAGTAATTCAACAATATCGTCAACAAAACAGAATAACAACACAACCGACTAGTAAACTTTCTACTTTAATAAATAACAATATCAAAGGGCAACGGCAATTAAGGTCAACAGAGTCGACAACCAAATTGTCAACAAGCATCAGCAACAAAATTGCCATCAATCTAACCAAGTCTGCGTCAACAAACTTCATCAGCATCAGAACAACAAAACATGAATACACGGAAAACAATCAAAAGCTTACTGACTTCATCGATCGGAAAATCAAACATCACAAACAGTTCTGCATCAATGTCAAAACAAAATCATCGTCTTTGCAAACCAACAAAACCACAAAACACAGCAACTGTATCCCGGCAAGCATCAAAACAAAACAATGATGACAAAATCAACACGCTCATCCAACAAACTCATCACCAAAACTCATCACTTTAATCGACAGTAAACCCATCCACTTCAATCGTCCAAAGGATCTAAAGTTCACTTCCATCAACCCCCAAGTTGAACCATAAATCAAACAGCTAAATTAAAACCAACAAAATAAACGGCTAAAGTTACATCTGCATCCATGTCCATCATCTAAAATTACAGTTTCAACTAGACACTTTTTCATCACAAAAATCGCCCGAAACTCAGCACCAATAATATACCATCGTCAAAGAAATCCGTTAACGGAAAAAAAGACAAAATGTAACACTCGAAGCCTACATACAAAATAATTTCAACAAACACCAGTAGAACAGAACGGACCAAGGGTTGGTAGAGTTGTTATCCCCCAGACGACGAAAGGAAATGATACGTATTAAATTTGGGGCCAATAAATTTGTATCTAATGTTAGAAGATTTTTGATATAATTTGGAATCATGTTATTCGCGACGTAAAAAAGGGTTAAAATCAAAAAGTGGAGAAAAAGATTACATGTAAATGAAAAATCTTGTTCGAAATATTCATTTTCCCTATGTTTAATTGTAACTTACGTTTGTTTCCTTCAGAGCAACACAATACCGGTAGCATCTTGGAATAACCCGGCGGCGTCATAATTTTATTGCAGGAGTGTTGGCAATATTTATTGTTATGAAAAAAAAGGTTTTGTCTTGTTTTCATTTATTTTCGTGTGAAATAACAACGAAATTGAGAATGACCATCTGATTTTAAATTGCATCAAACTCTTTTTTACATCAAGATGTATCACATTTTATTATTCTACATTATTTTTTATTTGTTTGTATTGCGACGACAAAGCCGTTATACCTGTATTTGAGAATGACGATTTAACTGACAGATGATAGTCAATAGGCAGTTAGGCCGGAAGTCTACATCTACAGCTAATCAAAATACCGTCTGTAAATTACACAACCAAAACAAAAGACAGGCAGCTTGCAATAAGACAATCCACTATACGGCACTACCAATTCAGAATCACATTCATAATCTTATTTTCTACCTGGTGTTGAAAACTTTATTTAGGGCGGATAAAAGTTCTTGGATGATAATAAATATAAAGAAAACGTAAACATAAATGTTGATACATTTCAAAATCCTCCGACAAAGCCAATCTTGGCGGGAAAAAGTAATTATAACTTGTACAAATTAGTGCGTTGTGGTAACTTTCAATCACCACACAATGTTTTTTCACGCAGTTTCAACTGAAAGAACTTACCCGTTGTTTGCAAGTAGTCAGTATGGTCGCCATAATTTCCATATTTCAACTAGATATCCTGGTATTTTAACCGTCCACTGTTAGAAGTGAGTTAATTAAAGGGTCAGAAATATATTTATGTTAATGTTATTTTAAATTTTAATGACAACTATTCTGTACAAATATTTGTGCGACATTTGGTTTTAAAATGCAGAAATATAAGAGGAATTGTTAATTAAGGAAACTTAAAAGAGAGAACAGGTTTATAACTGGGGTTCCGGGAAGTAACTACTCCGGGCACTGACTGAAATACATCCCTGTGTTTCTTCAAAAATTCTGAAAGAGATAAACCTCCTAGAAAAGAGAAATAAAAAAGTCGCATCTAGTCGTTTTCACTGTTTCTTACTTAGAGAGGTTATTGAATATGCAGTTTTCCTTGAAAGTAACAGTATTAAACCCAATCATGATTCTGTCGATTCATTCACTGTTGCCACGGAAACTAAAGCATGTATTAAACATTTAAAAACCATACATGTAATATTACAAAATTTATGTAAATATGGTCTTGTTAATTAAAATCTTATTTCCATGTCAAAAAGGCTTATATTAAAAAATACAAAAATCATTAAATTTAATACAAAAATAGAGACCTTTTTTTTGTGGGGGTAGTATGTTTTTTAAATTTTCGTTACGGGCTAAATCTTATGATTATGTTTTTACAGCCCCATACTTTTTTTTTTGTTTTTTTTCAATTAAAAATTTCCTTTTTGATACCCTGGGCAAGAAAAGTGTCTTTTAGAGAATTCATTTTGTCAATTTGTAAATTTAAATTTCTTTTTTAAACATTTTGTGAAAAAAAAGAGCAGGAAAGGGAAAAAGACAAAACTAGGGAACACCCGGAGTTAACAAAACCTTTAAACTTCAAAAATTTAAAAAACCCTTTCTTCCCGACTATAAAATATTATTCGGATGTTGCTCTTTACCAGAAGGCAGGGCATTTTTTCATTCTTGCAGCAGAGATGAAATTTTATGTCTATTAATAATAAGTATCAACATTTGTTTGTAAAGGTGAAAAGTATATTGATATTTATGTACGTTATTGCAATAATGAAGTTCAAAATAATAAGACATATGGTATACGTAAATGTAGTATTTGAAATGAATATTTCCTGAAATAAAAACAATATGTTTAAACAAACGTTTACACTCTCTTGTATATTGTACGATAAAATCAATTTGTATGTTTTGTTTTAATAAATATAAAATACTAACAACATTGTTTGATATCGCCCCAACTACATGAAAATGTAATCGTTAGATGGAACAAAACATGTAGTTGATGTACTTGTTCACTTTTCAAAACGAGATAAATTATCAAATATCTACACAATCTTTGAATAATTTTCATTTAAAGCACAGACAAATATTAAAACATGCTTTTTGATACGTATAAATCAAATCTTTCCATGGTACTGTGAAATAACACCGGAATGTTTACTGCTCAAACTCGTCTGGGTTCAATACGTTCATATAACTAAGGTAATGGGGCATGATGGTTCCTATTATCCCGTCTTCCCAGGCTAATTAAATGAAAATGGACGACTAATATTGGTAAACTATCAATCAAAATCAAGGTCCACTGATACATGTATATAAAAGTTCAAAATAATACATCTGAAATTGTGCACAAGGACTTAATTTGGAAAAGCTGAAGAAAAATCAAGTGACACGTTCATTGTGCGTGTTTGAAGGGAAGAAATTTAAAAACAGTTAATCCAAACACCAAAGGAAAATAGAAACCATAATTTCAAAATTGTTTTTATGAATGATTTTCGGAAATTAAATTTCTGCATCTTAAAAGGGTTCAAATTTATAAGTTAATTATTAATAATAAAATGTGATGTTGAAAAATGGGGCAAAAATTTAGGTTCAATCTGACAGCAATATTCCTTTGTATCTAGAAGATAATTGTTGCATATTGTAGTTTTATTAGCCTTATGCAATCTGGAGGCGGACAAATTATTCTTTGGTTTCTTGAATTCCCGGAGTTAGGTCTACAACGTCCTTACCTGATACACGGTACTGTACGATAAAATTATCCTTCTGTGAACATGACATAAAGAGGCATTATTGTCCTCGCAAGTAAAATCACCTGAAATTTAAGAAAAAGTACGAACAAATTAAGCATCGGAATCATGCACAAATTTGTAATGAATGCATGGGTGAAATTGTAAAATAATTATACTGTCGACAACTTATAGAAATATAATAGATATGTCAAATACACGTACAGTGTGATGTTCTTCCAGCCGTTCGGATGCAATAAAGTCAGACCTGGCGGGATATTAGTAAATGTTTTATTCTTTTTCTCGACCTTTCAGTATGCATTAAAATATAGTTTATCTTTTTGTCGATGTGACGGGATATATATGTTTAGTAGTTTACTGTACAAAACGCTATAGTTTACAGTTGACATTATTTAATGAGAGAAGGTTTTTCAACAAGTTCAATTAATTTAGTAATGTATTGATACAAATATAATATACTGTTTATCACATGCCTAAATTAGAACCAATTTGCAGTCAAAAGATTCATTTTGCATTGATGCAACTATTATGTAACAAGACTCTATTAAAAAATTACGCAGATTTCTAACGGAGTCGTACAACATGCACAAGTATGTGATTAAACTTGTTACCGATTTTCCAAACTGTTGGTGTAGTCAAAATCTCCAACGGCGCTGGACTTCCAGAAAACTGGTATGTTGTCACGTCAAGGCCATTCAACAAACCCTTTAACACCATTGACGCATTCTCTGCAAACGTTTCCAAAAATCAAATTACAATTATAAACGGGGTTGAATAAAATAACAACAAGAAATGTCACGTTACATTTGTAAATGTTTGTCTGACTTTGATTCATAGTGTATTTATTTTGCATTTTTTAATACAGTTTGTCTTCTTTGTAACTTTACAGCTTATTTTATAATGATTCAAACTCAACAAGTATTTTTACAGCAAATTAATGATAACAAAAGTCATAATGAAATCTGTTGATTGTGTACATCAAAGACAAATTTGACAACATAATAATATTGACTATTGTACCGGGGACACAAACTATTTGCATATCCGCAGAGTTTGGCTGCTTCATACAATTGTCGCCATCTATGTCATATATAGTTCCCTGAAAAAATGTTTGTTTCTTTTCCCACACTGAATAAGTTTTATTATATCATGTCATCTAATAATAAACATAGATTATTACTGATAAGTAAGTACTTGGACAAAGCTTTTGATTTACGATCTAATACCATGGAACAAATGATAAATAGACGAAATTAATGATATATTATTAACACTACTTTGTTATTTGTTAATTTCAAAACGAATACTGATATTTGAAATGTTTATATATGTATCTTGTAGTTATGTGTGCTATATTTCAAGATCTATGTATGTATATGTTTTGTATGTATTGCCAAAGGCAAGGATTTGCCGATTTGCAAATAAAATTTGAACTTTGAACTTTGTTTAATTTATTAAATAAAGATTAATTCTCGTAATTATTCGTAATTATTTATGGTTTTGATAACATTAAAAATGCTGCTTTTGAGAATTGTGAAAACAATAAGAATAAGAGGTAAAATAAAGGCTTCGTATAAGATATATGTATAATGTGTGATTGAAAAACAACCCATCACGTTGAGACTCGATTAGAAAGTACATACTGTTGCAAAGTCTTTGATAAACGTTGATGTCCTATATTCATGTGTTGATGATCCTGGCGTTGATAATGTAACATTTACATGGATGTAAGACTTTTTGTTTGTTTCATCGAAAGCGATTTTTCCAGTTCCATTATAGTACACAATCGTAGTTTTGTTTTCTATTGTCAACTTGGCACTAGCGATGATAAAAACTTTGGCTTCCCATCGTCCATTAGCACAACAAATGTTGCCAAGCGGGCTTCTTTTACTTTCTCCGAATAATTGTTTCAAGTTTTGATGAAACTTTGTATAATCCGTAAATTGTTTAGTAAAGTTAATATTGTATCCAGCAGAAAAATTGATCGAACTTGCAAACAGAACTTGCAATATTAAACAGTTAGACATATTTTCACATTGTTTATGCTATTATATAAATGTTACTAAGATGTGTCATTTATAAGTTTTCATACGTGTGGTAAGTTTTATCACCATTATTAAGCGATAGGTAATGAAGTATGTGTTTACTTTGACGAAATGAAATATCAGTAAACAAAAACAGCTTTTGTACTTTTTGAATTCTTTTTTATCTAACGCTTAATCAAAACGATCCTGCAATATTTCAATTATGTCGTTTTGAACGTTCGTTAGGGAATCTTTATTTCTCTCTATTTATACATATCACCAACAAATGGAGATTATATTGAGTTGTGTGTATGTGTGTGTTATACGTGTCTACTCTATATGTTTAATCTCCGAAATACTTAATTTGCCTGAAAGTGTCTTTACTTTAACTCATTACTGGATGGGCATTTTGTGAAAAATGGCTGTTTTCATTGGAAAGCCTCCTGTTACAAGTTCAAATTGCTACGAAACTTAAAAAGATGCTTCAATATTTATCAAACTTTGCACAAATGTTGACTGACTGGACCATAGCCGTTGTAACGGCATGCTCAATCTTTAATTTTCTGTTATCATGGCAACGAGGGGACATCTCAAAATTGCCAAAAATCACTATTTTACGTTGATTGTTTCCATCAAAACTGATTTCAAAGTGTCGAACAAAAGCTTTTCTGCTTTGGTTACATGTTACCTTCTGATCGACCTGAGGCCAATTTTAACCTCTCACAAGTCCAAAACTTCTTGGCGATGAGGTGGTGGGGGGGGGGGCTGTTAGACCCTTCAAATCCCTAAGCTGAAGGGGACACATCCCCCTCTTGCACCCCCTGATGTGTGTATTTGATAGGGCACGGCGCCGACAGTGATCACTTTTTTAAACAACAATTTCTTAAACGAAAACAAGTGTTGTGGCTCTAAATATGGCATTTTTATCAACATTTGATGCCTCAGAAAAGGGGGAGGGGTGAAAAGGCGTGAAAAGAACACGTATATATGAAGCAATGGGATAAAACGGGCAATCAAAAAGCTACAACAACACATTTTAAAGATGTGTCCTTTTGTCTATTTTGGCTCATTAATAATACTGCTTTCTTACAATTCTAAACAATATTATATCCATTGCAATTGCCTTTTTAGATAAATGGGTTGTTTGTTCCATTTTAACAAAAAAACAAATATATTTCTATAGACTTATAGTAAATAATTTATAAATCAGAAAGTAATTAAGCGAAGCACTTTTTAAAAATCATTATGTATTTTTTTATATACATGTGTATCATTGTAAATTCTATATTTATACGAACTTCATATCGCAATATGTATGTAACTGAAAATTCTTTAAAGTAGTTTTAATTACATTTTCAGTTGAAACTGAAAAGGGGTAAATGCGCAACAGCTGAACCAGACACAATTCGTTTACCCCGCTGTGTTTGTGCTTTTATTTAAATTCATTAAATATGTGTTACTAAAAAGTGTCAAATTAAGAGAGAAATGTTGAAAGACCTTGAAGGACAAACAATTAGTGAAACGTCTTTCATATCATTAATGATACTGGCCTATTCTCTTGATTATCAGAGTGATACAAGAGTGAGTAGGTGAGGAGAAACGTCATATAAATGCTAATCTAGTTGCAATCTGCTGGGGGCACAAATATAGATGGATCTTTTATTCCCGGAGTGATATCTACGACATCAACATCATACACTAGTAAAGGTGATACAGCCGGATCATCTACGAACATTGCATAGGAGAACATTATTGTCTCACAGTCCTTACCTGAAATTATAAGAACGTTTCGTAATAAAAGTGCTTAAGTAGTGAAGGAAAGCAATTTTATTTTATTTATTTTTAACCACGTTATTATTACTTCTATTTAGTTCTCACTCGAAGAACCATTTCATTGGACTGGGTGAAGTCTATCTACCCCTAACAGTGAATGTGCCATGCTACGGAACACTTAATTATTATCTCAGTACTTTTATGAAACGTCAAATATGATGTTTTTAGTACTTTTTGTGAAACACAAAAATGACGTTTTCAAAAACAAACGGTTTGTTTGTAGTGTTTGTTTTGATTTACTTCAATGGTGCCGAATTGTTATTGTTGCGCCTATTGTTATTAACTGTTGTTCAGGGACACAGGCAATAAGAAATGACAATGTTATATGACGATGTATGACTTTCAAAAAATGAATTCAATATAACACAATTCATTTGAAACATTTCTACGTGAATGGCACCGATAGTTACTTCCATGTAAAAATGGTGGAACTTATGGAACTTACGTATTGTTATTTAAAAAGTAACCGTATTATTGACGCATCGTTATCAAGCATTCTCTTTAATGATATTCTTCCGGTCACGAAAAGCTGTTGAAATATTTGGCTGTTTTGTAAGAATAGACGGGATGTAATAAGATTTTTAGTATCTTTGGGTAGACAATAGGAGACTTTACTTTATGCTTAGTGTCGGCATATAGAAACATGTTTTACCGTTTTGTCGAACTGTTGGTGTTGTGAGAATCTCCAATGGTGGGGTACTGTACTTGATCTGGTATGTTGTTACGTCTACGCCATCAAACAAACCTTTCGACATCATTGTTGCATTCCCTGAATAAAAAAAAACATCAGAAATGGAACCCATTAAAATAGAGTTTAGTTAGTGTTTGGTTCTATTTTAGTATTCTATAAGAACATAATAACTTTTTATTTATTAATTTAAGGACAGTTTAACTATTATATAACTAAAATGTATAACAATAAAAAGGGAGAACTGTAGGTTCTTATGAGTCATACAAATTGACTATATAAGTGATACCAGCATAAATTATTGGTCAACATACCGGGAACACAAACTATTTGCATGTTCGCTGAATTTGCCAGTTTCAAACAACTATCGCCATTTATTTCATATGTAGTGCCCTGGAAAAATATCTGCTTCGTTTAATTTGATGTAACATCTACGTACTTGTTTGATTTACAAAACGACATTTTAATTGAAAGTTATCAAAGAGAAATATATATTGTTTTTTTTTCTTGTATAAAATGCCATCGTCATAAATTTGAAATCTGAACCATGAAGAACTGAAGGTTCCAATCAATACATATTCTTTGTTTTCTGAATTTAATTATGATATATACATACTGTTGCAAAGTCTTTAATATCCGTTGATGTCTTATAGTCATATTTCGTTGATCCTGGAACAAATTCTGTTACATTAAAACTAATGTAAGATTTTTGATTTGTTTCGTCGAAGGCAATTTTCCCAGTTCCATTGTAATAAACAATAAATGTATTATTCTCGCTAGTCAATTTTGTACTTGCAATTATATATGCATTTGCTTCCCATTGCCCATACGCACAACAAATATTGCCAGGTGAGCTTCTTGTACTTCTTCCGAATAAATGCTTTAAGTTTTGATGAAACTTTGCATGGTTGCCATTATGTCCAGTGTAATGAATATTATATCCAGTGCAAAAACTTGTTAACACATAAAAGAAAACAGTAATAACAGTATTTAAGCAAATGTATGACATATTTATTACCTTACGTAGCCTTTAAATGAACTTTGACATTTTATGGGATACGAGTATAGATTAGATATATCGAGGTAACTAAACCTGATATGTTCTCTTTATTATTAATCAAATACATGTACTAATTCGGATAAGTAAACACTTTTTAACAACTCGACTTTGAGACGATGTTATATGGGAATCACGGATGAATTTGGCTATCGGGTAAAAACGTACATTTTTAGCTTACTCTAAATAACTGTATGATTCTTATCCGATAAAGATCGTTTATGTCTGATTCTTGAATTTGTTTTTGTCTCTGATCAAATTCTAACAGCTCGTGAAAAATTACTGCACTGGATAATTACAACTAAGATACTATACTAGTAATTTCAATCACGATAGTAAACAAAAAATAGATAAATACAGAATCCCTAAAGAAAGCCCAACACGGCAATATTGAAAATGTTGCAGGCTCGGTTTGATTGAGCCTGTTCATGGACGGTACTGGAAAGTGCAAGTTACCGTCCACGCCCCCTAGCACCGGCTTAAGCAGAATTCAACATTTTGAACATGAAATAGTAAAATTTTTAAATTTAGAAACATCCGCAGATGTGTTCATATGGCGGTTATCATGGAACCTTCAATGTGACACTTCCGTGCCATTCCATGAAAAGCGGCGTATGGTCCCCAAGTAATAAAAAGCGTGTGCCCTAAACGAGAAAAACAATGGGCGGAACTAAATAAAATGGAATTTTGAAAGGGGATCAGAGGTTATGAAGCCTGCGTATCACAGATAAGACGTCAAAAGACAAATTTAAAAAGCATGCAACATATCCTAAGGGTGATTCAACATTATTCAAGTAGGAATATTGGAACCACCCAACTAGAAAATGCCGAAAAGTTGAAACTAAAAATACCACAAGCACAACAATAATGTCGTGCTGAACGATCTTCAAGGATCGAAAATATAACATCATTGATTAAATGTACGGGGAGACTTTTTACAGCCGCCACACGGCACAAATAACACGGATGTGATCATAAAATAGATAAATACAGAATCCCTAAAGAAAGCCCAACACGGCAATATTGAAAATGTTGCAGGCTCGGTTTGATTGAGCCTGTTCATGGACGGTACTGGAAAGTGCAAGTTACCGTCCACGCCCCCTAGCACCGGCTTAAGCAGAATTCAACATTTTGAACATGAAATAGTAAAATTTTTAAATTTAGAAACATCCGCAGATTTGTTCATATGGCGGTTATCATGGAAAGATATAGTTTATTTGCGGTAATTTTAAACGGTGATTTCATAGCTGTTACATATACCATATTGTTAACTTCTTTTTAATGAATTTTCAGACAGTAGAAAAAATTAGAGGTATATTTAAATCTCCAAATACTTTTATTTCACAATAAGATAACTTAATTACTATATTTTTATCATCATGTTTACTAATTTTCATAAAATTTCAGTTTAATGTCTTTTAGAAATGCCCTACCATTTGTTTAATGATTCTGTTAATTGATAATGATAAATTCACCAATAATTAAGTCATTCATATATATTGCCATTAATATATTTGAATATACACATACTTGTTAATGTTACAATCCTAAAACATTTTACTCCTCCGTATTTAAAAAAGAATGAATAAATATAAGTTTTATTAGTTAAAGGAAGTAATGGTATGAAAACAGGATGACATAGTGATGTATGCTATAACGAAGGTGAGAACTGGAAAACAATTATGGACGAGCATGTCTAAAATCTGCACTCTTACTTGATTCTAGTGAAACCTTGGACAAATGAAAATAAATTTTAATCTTGTGTTTATGGTACAAATGTAGGCAATGTCAGTTGGAAATTTAAAATCTTAACAAACAATTAGAATAGATTATATGATAAAACGCAGAGTTGAAATCCTTAAAAGTGGGTTGAAATAGGATGTCATTTTGTTTGATTTAGATAATGATGTATTTTTGTGTTTGTGTTTCAATGTTTAGAACGTGAAGCAGTGGGGAGTTTATTCTTGAACAAAGTATATTTGGTATAATCGGTGATGATATATACCTTTTTTGAAAATGTTTATGACAGTAAGTGTCATTTTTATAATTGCGGCTGCTGAAAGAGTTGGGGAGAAACCAGATTATGTCGAAAATGAGATTTTAATCAATGTAAAATTATTACCCGAAGATTATGTCGCAGATACTGCTGTGTTAAGAAAAAGCCAAGATTAGCAAGTAAATGAACATAACAAGTTTTATCACCTTTTTGTAAAACTACTAGATTGAGGATTTAAAATTCATAAGTGTTCAATTTTGTGTTATGTAGGCCCGACATGATAAAATGTGTTACATCTTATAACGTTGAGGAACCAAATGTTATATCTGATCATTGTGCTTGGAAATATTCCATATATTTAATGCTGTTTCTTCAATTTGACCTTTCCAACTTTGTAGCTTCCAGTATTTCTACTTGAATACTGTATTATCACCCTTTGGATATGTTACGTTCTTTCTAACTTTGTCTTTTGAGGTCTTGGCTGCATTTGACGATTTGTTGATGTTTGCATGGTTCAACTAATTCTTAGTTCGTAAATGATATTTGTATCTTAAATTCATATCTATGATTTATTTGGCATGATCATTATATCTGTATTCTATGGTGGCTGATTTGTATGATGGCTGATTTGGGACACTTTTGTGCGACATGTTGTCGCTAGCGACAGCACGACAAAGCTCCAAACGGTGCGTTGATGGACTTTCGGCTTGTCATCATGTCGCTAACGAAGCATGCCAAACGGCGCGTTGTCGTGCGGCTAGTTGTTGCGATGTCACATTGTTGCTCGGCTCAAATCGAAGAATTGACTATTTGTTTAAAGCTACAGGGCGACATCGCGACAATTGGCCACACGACAACTTGCCGTTTGGTGTGCTTCGCTAGCGACAGGATGACAAGAAGACAGTGCGACAAGACGAAAAGGCGATAACGATAAAGGTTGTGTTGTCGCTATGGACAATGCAAGGCGCAAAAGTGTACCAAATCAGCCACCATACTTTATTCAAAAGAAATAAATACCAAATATTTACTTGTTATGTAAAATGATCATTAAATTTTGTTTAGTTTAAATGTATGTAAATGAAATATATAAATCATTTACAAGTACATTGTAGTTATGTTAAAACAGAATGAGTATAAGTACGATCATATCAAGGATAATTTGACATAAGGATCAATAGTTATAGTCATTTCTCATATGTTTACAGATAAGATTTACGTTAACAAAATACATATTGTTTCAGTTACTATAGTTTCTTCATTTTCATTGTTTTCACAGACAAAGAAGGAAAAATAAGATTTTCCGAAAATTTACGTAATTAAAGGGAATCATATCTAAAAATAATTTGTGAAAACAAACGGCGGTCAATTTTCTATTGTTGAGGTATCTGATCCTGAATGTCACTATTTTCATCTCTTTCAGTAGATAACCCTAAAACATACTGACACCTTACTTTATTTTAAAAGATTTTTCGTAATTTTATTTTCAGTCATTATCTAAAGTTTATCCGACTCTATCTTACATTTTGCTATGCTTCAATTATGCCTCCATTTTATATCAACAACTTTAGAATAAAATCTGTTGCATAGAGAATTTCAGCAAATTTTACACCTTGATAGGTAACGAAGAAATAAGCACAAATTTGTTATCAAACAAGGGGATGCTAGCTACATTTTCTTATATATCTGCTTTAAAATTGGCCTAAAACAAGCCAAAACTCACTTTTAGGGGCAGATAAATAAAAAGTACCCATTGCCTGTGTCTAATTGCTTTTACACTTAATATTCTAACATGCACTTTTGACGTCTAGCAAGGCATTTCCAAATGTCTGATTATTTTTGCAAACATGCATCGATGGACGGTTAATAGTAAAATCATTAAACTTATGTACAAGGTGTTGCACAATGCCTTATGATTTTTTAAAAACAATACTGTAGGAACTCTTGCGAGGTTAGTTAATAAATGTGTATTACTTTGCTAGACCTACAGTCTAAGACAAAAAAAACCCCAAAAAACACGACAATATAATGAAAACCGTCGCACTGTTTCAAAATAACTTACACCGGCACATGCTTCTTGTTGTGAAATTCGCAATTTTCAGCTCAAAGCATCCGAGTGAGATACATTTGTTTACCAACTATGTTTATGTTTTTATTCTAAAATTGTCAAATACATGTACTTGTTATTGAAAGTAAAGGCCGTCCAAATTAATAAATGTGTTCAATACGCTTGATACGCCATTTACTTTTGAAAATAAATATACAAGACTGGGTATTGTGGAGAATATCCATGTAGATCGCGAATTTTCTGCCCTATCCGTCAAACTTTCGGATAAGGACCTCGGACACAATAGTATATAGAAATAAACAGAGCGACAAATAGTAAATAAATGCTTGGAATTGGTGATAAAGTTTATTCCAATGTATACCTTAATTAGGTAAATTTATAGAACACAGTAAACAGTACATTATTTTTATACATGTACTTATTATTGTTAAAGAAACCCAAAGTACAAAATATATACTTGTTGACATTATTCGGATTAGGAAAGAAATGTACATAAGTGGGCGTTTGAAAATTGATTATTTATAAGTCAGCTATTTTTCAATCACAATTTTACCAAAATAGACTTTTTTCCTTTGGATGTCAAATACGTACATTTGATATACACTGTACAAAGATAACACCCTCTTTTTGTAAACATCTAAAATCACGTGATATAACTACTTTCAATCCGTATTTAATCCGAGATTATTATGCATAATCGTCGACGTGTTCCAATAACCCAACTAGTTGCAATCTTTAGGAGGCACGAATATAGATGGATCTTTTATTCCCGGAGTGATATCTACGACATCAACATCATACACTGATTCTTCAATTGTATCATCTGAGAACATGGCATAGGAGAACATGATCGTCTCACAATAACTACCTGAAACATTTGGAGCATATTGTAATCAAAGTGATGGAAATTTTTATAGAAAGCGATTTTTTTTACTTTGCAAGATTATTTTTTTTCCTCAGATTAACAAATAGATAGTTATAGTTCTCACTCGAAGAATAATTATCTTGGAATTGGTGGGAGAGGTCCGCGTGAAGTTATGCAAAGGTACTCTATTATACATTCTTATTAACCCTCTCACAGTGAATATGTCTCGCAACGCTACTGTACTTATCTTGGTTGTACTTTTATGAAACGTCAAAAATGACGTTTTTATGTTATTTTAAGAAACACAAAAAATAAGAAAAGAAAAAAAAGATTTTTTTTTATCAAAAATAGAAATTTTGTTCTTACATATTTTTGTAAGAAATGTTCTGATTTATTTAAATGGCACTGAAAACATGATATTGGAACATTTCTCTTGAATAATACAGGTATAGTCACTGTTATGTAAATTGATAGTACTTTAGTATTGTTACTTTAAAAATTAACCGCATTATTGTTACATCGTTATCAGGTGTTCTTTTAAAGTTGTTTACATTTTGCTTAGTGTATGTTTTACCGTTTTGTCGAACTGTTGGTGTTGTAAGAACCTCCAATGGTGGGGTACTGTACTTGATCTGATATGTTGTTACGTCTACGCCATTAAACAAACCCTTCGACATCATTGTTGCATTCCCTGAAGAAACATCGAAAGAAAGCCAACATTTCAATGATAGAAATGCAACACGTTACAGATTCATGTTTTACTGGTTTGTGTTTAGTTATATTATTACAAAACACATTAAAAAAAGAGACATTAAGGTAGGTCCTGCTAGTCATATTAGTTAGTGGACTTTACAATAATTATCACACATTATTGGTCAACATACCTGGAACACAAACTATTTGCATGTCCGCTGAATTTGGCTCCTTAAAACAACTGTCGCCATCTATGTCATATGTAATTCCCTGAAAAAAACCTTTGTTTCATTTTATTTATGCTTCATTTTATTTATGCTTCATTTTATTTATGTAATATTCTTCCTACTTGTTTTACTTTTAAAAGTTTAACAAGACTATAAATTATTTGAAAGTTGTTTAGCTTTATTCAAGAGAAATATGTATTATAGTGTTCTTATATTAAATGTCTTCGTTCTAATTTAAAAATTAACTATGAAATCGAAAAATGACTTTATATTATATGTTGTATGAGTTCAATTATGATATACATGTAGTTACATATTACATACCGTTGCAAAGTCTTTGATATCCGTCGATGTTTTATAGTCATGTTTTGTTGATCCTGGGGCAAATTCTGTTACATTAAAACTAATGTAAGATTTTTTATTTGTTTCATCAAAGGCAATTTTCCCTGTTCCATTGTAATAAACAATCATTGTTATATTCTCGAGAGTCAATTTTGTACTTGCAATTATATATGCATTTGCTTCCCATTGCCCATACGCACAACAAATATTGCCAGGTGCGCTTCTTGTACTTCTTCCGAATAAATGCTTTAAGTTTTGATGAAACTTTGCATGGTTCCCATTTTGTCCAGTGTATTGAATTTTATATCCAGCAGAATAAATGATTAAGACAGGAAATAGAACGGTAATTATACAAATGTGTGACATCTTTGTTACCTTTTGTAACCTTAAATGAACGTTTCATCAAACTTTGACATTTCAATTTGACGAGATACGAGTATAGATTAGATATAAGTAATCTTAATATATTCACCTTATTGGTAGTCAAATATTAATATCGATAAGTATAATAGAATGTTAATCTGTATCAGTAAATAGCGATTACTCATAAAAAGCATTGATTTGGCAGTCCCAACTGCAAGAAAGGGTACATTATGACTTCAAACGTTCATTTGACTTTTAAGATTGGAATTAGCATCAGTTATGTTTTCATTAATTTTGATATGGTCAACGGACTTTTATACATGTACAAACAACAAAATAATTCCGGTTTGATATAAATCAAGTCATGCGCATACTGTCTTTCAGATAAAGTAAGACAACGAGCTTGCTGGATCTACATCAATATTGTAATTAATCAATTTCTAATGGTATCATCTGCCTGACATACAAAATAGTATCCCTAGGGGGATTTTAATAAAGACCCACTATATTTAGAGTGAGCGTAATTAGGGGGAGATCTTTAAATGATTGCCCGATCGCCTAGGCGATGGGCCAATGGTCTGGTTGCAAAAGTGACAGACAAAAATGACCGTCTAAAAAATGAAATCTGCAAATCTGGTCAGTGTACGTTCTTTTGTCATTTGATTTTCGTTTAAAAATGAGATGTGACCAGTCAGGAGGGCCATGTTTTGGCTTTGATAGGCACTTATTACTTTTTTAAAAATTCCAAAGTGAGTTTTGATGACAAGTGCCTCTATGATGTGTTCCATAACTTACTACTATGTTGACAATAAACCAAATTAATCATTTGTGTTTGGCTGGCCAGTTATAGCTTTATCACCAGTATGTTTCACTTTGAGCAACTTTGGCTGATATTGTGCCAACTTAAAGTCACGTGGGTGGGATGGTTGTTAGGTTTACCGTAACTAAACAACTCTAGTTTTGATTTTCAATCTTTCTCTCTTTCATCGTATCTGAATCACTTTGATAAAATTTTAATGTTTTCAGGGAATGACTTTTCTTTATTTAAAACTGAGCTGTGTGATGTTACACTTCTCGTAGATCATGTCTTTGTCTGTATTCCATAGACACTTATAATTCAAGGTAAAACCATAGTAATGTGAAAATACAAATTGACATATCACCATAACATATGAAAATGAGTGCACTTTGTAATTCGTTTGTATTGGCTATTCTCAATACAGGTCAGGACAAACCGGTGTTGCATATTGTTTAGATCAGATCACTTTACATAATAAAAGGAATCATGACACTAACCACACATCAAGAGACCAAATACGAGGTGTTTTTAGAGCTGAAAAGTGCAGGGGGAAACATTGCTACACATGGGTTGTTTTGTTACGCGACAACCAGAACATTCACATAACATTAGTTATTTCATTATAGAAATAATAATAACAATAGAATGATGTTTTTATATATTACTATTTTCCTGCAAGATTTCTTGTATTATTCCTGGTATGTATATTTTTATTTTAATGCTAATGAAATGTAAATAATGTATAATTTTTATTGGTGACATGTGAATTGTATAATGTAAAATATTTGTCAAATAATTGTTTTATTTGTTACGTATTCTACTCCACATATCACATGTATATTATACAATCAGAGGCATTTATAAACCAACACTTTTCAAATTCATCTGTTTCCAAAGCGTTCAGAAATTTATTGAAAATTATACAGGATGTTGTTTGACTGCAATATCCACGCAAATAATTAAAGATCGGTTACGCTTACATTGGATTCTCATGTAAAAAAAAAACACAATTTACATCTGTACAGTATGAAATCCACACATTTTTCTTATTTCATTTCTTTTTTCAGGTAGTTCATGCCGTTGGCCGACATGTGTCCACTATAGACAGTCTCTTACGAAAGTTTCAAACACAGGATATGTTGATAATATACCGAGGCAGCCTCGCCGAAGAGTTACTACACAGCACAAGATGCACAGATTGTAGCGGATCATATCCGATCTGGCTTCAAGACCGCAACCCCTACTGTAAGAGCGACTTTTGGCATACATGGAAGAGCAGTCAGCAAAAGAACCGTCATCAGGCGGCTGCGAGATCAGGCAATCAGAGCTAGGCGCCCATTTGAGGTCTTATTCTGCAATGGGCTCGACAGCACCAACGCATGACTCGAGCCGAGTTGGCAAACATTTTGATTACCAGTCGAAGAACGAATGTTATTGAAGTGTCAGAACGGCCAGAGGAATTTGGACAAGAGTTACATGGGTATTGAAAAGTAACAACCTACATAACTTTCTTGACGTTTGATAATCGCATGGTTATACGTGGTCGACGAACATATTTTTGCGGCCAAAATCTTACTGCTACACTAGTGAACTGACGTAAAATAGTATAACCAGCTTTCAACCTCAGTCACAATATTAGAAAAACGGCGACATTCATACTTCGGAAACATTTTCATTAATTTTCAAGCGCATTTATTTCGCTCATTCTTCTGGTCAGATGTAAGCAAATGGGGTAACCAACTTGCAGTTATCCGCCAATCTTTCAAGTGATTTTTTTTAGAATCTTTTTGATATCCATGCGATACGGGCTGGGTAAGTGAAGAGTCTGGCATCTTTGTCATGATAAACTTGCCTTTATGGAGCGTATGACAGACAGGCAACCTTAATTGACTCATGCCCATATCTTAAATCTATGCATCCACCTGAACACAGTTGATTAGATAATCGTTGTTGCCATAGATATTACAAACATCATTATAAATATTCATAGCAGATTTTGTTCTAATGTTTCTCTAACTTGTATGTATGCCCTTACTTCAGCATAATATTTTAAATGAAATCGTGTAAGGTATTTTTTTTAAATGAATAAAATTCTTAAACGGTTGACTACACATATGGTTGGGGTATAATTTTAAAGCAGTTGTTTCAAAGCATAGCATAGTTTACTCACGAGCTAAATTGAAAATATACTTCATATTACATTACATATTGACCCACCATCGTAATAATGAGTAATTTATCAATAATTTACTGCTTCTTGCAGTATGGAAAATGAAGGTTGACATATTTCTATCTTGTTATGGCAATAGACTTGATATATAAGTTATATTCTTCAACAGTTTTACTAACATTTTGGTCATTTCTTTTACTTCTCTCAATATGTATACAAGGAAAGATATAATGAAAACACGGCGACAAACTATGGTGGTTGATTTGGTACGCTTTTGTGCGTCTAGTTGGCGCTAGCGACAACACGATAAAGCGCCAAACGGCGCGCTGTTTTTTAGTCGTCCTGTCTCTAGCGCGGCACGCCAAACGGCGCGTTGTCATGCGGCGCGTTGTCGCTATGTCGCCCTGTCGCTTAGCTAATAAGCCAATCCTTCAATTTGAATCGACCGACAATGTGACATCGCGACAACATGCCGCATGACAACGCGCCGTTTGGCGTGCCGCGCTAGAGACAGGACGACAGCGCGACAACGCGCCGTTTGGCGCTTGGTCGTGTTGTCTCTAGCGCCAACGCGACGCACAAAAGCGTACCAAATCAGTCACCATAACAAACTGATATTAAATCTGCTATAATGAAGGTGAGAAATGGAAATTGTTAGTGGAGAAAAGGTAAGGATCTAATAGCTAATGGGTTCCAACGGAATCTTGTACAATCGAAAATAAACTTGTATTTAGGGTAACAAAATGTTTGCAATGTAAAATCTCAGCAACCTATTCAAACAGTTTATTTGATACTGTTACATGATTGCGGAGGCAAAAATATGGATGGATCACTAATTCCTTGTTTGATGTCCATAACGTCTAGATTTAGAAGTGTTCCATGGGTGACATCTTTTGGATGAATGACAGATTGAGATACTCTCACTGGATCACATGTATTACCTAAAATATATAATATATAGCATTAATCCCCAACAGTTTCAAACAAGTAACACAATTTTTAATAAGAGAAAGTATAAAACATCTCATACACCTTTTCGGGTGTATTATGTAGATTTGTTAGGGTGTCAGTGGATGATCCACAGACAAATATAGATCGCACATATTATGCTTACATATGCATTTTGGCTTATTTCTTTTCTGACCTACATGTAGTAAATAAGCTACGTAAATAAATTTGTTATACATTTTTTACTATTACCTATGCGAAGAACAGCTGCTGTAACAATTAGCCTTGTACCCGTGTAGGACTTAGAAAATTGGTATGTTGAAATGACCTCTTTTCCTACCAAACCCTTTGACAGATAAATAGCCTCCGCTGCAAGAAAATATAAACATTCATAACATAATGTATAGTCAAGTAAAGTTTTCAAAAGCCACAGCATCACATTGAAGCATTCGAAACTTGGACCGTTTATTAGTCTTTAGTTTTCTTTTAAAATCGGCGCGTTTTCGGCCCTAAACATAATACAGTAATTGAATCGAATCAAATGAAACATCTTTTAAATTTGAAAGCAATTATTACTTGATAAAATCGTTGTATCATATAGTTTATATCATTGATCAATGAAAACTTGTATATATATACTAACCTGGTATACAGAGAGCTTGGATATCTTTCGGTATAGTCTCTTTTGTACAATGACCTTCATCATCAATGTCATACATGATACCCTATTATAACAAACTTTAACACTTATTATATGACATACATGGTACTCTAATATAACAAAATTTAACACTGTACATATGTCATAAATGGTACTCTAATATAACAAAATTTAACACTGTACATATGTCATAAATGGTACTCTAATATAACAAAATTTAACACTGTACATATGTCATAAATGGTACTCTAATATAACAAAATTTAACACTGTACATATGTCATAAATGGTACTCTAATATAACAAAATTTAACACTGTACATATGTCATAAATGGTACTCTAATATAACAAAATTTAACACTGATATATGTCATACCTGGTACCCTAATATAACAGAAGTAACCATGTACATTTGTCATGCATGGTATCCTTCTGTAACATGATCAAATAGTGTACATCTGTCATACACAATACCCTCATATAAAAATAAACAATGCATATTTGCCATGCATATCATACCAGTTACAATAATATCTTGATTACGACTGGAACAATATCAGTATCAGACATGAAGCTTGTATATAACAATCACAACTAATATAAATGTCAAATATGATAGTCTGATCATAAAATCATAAGTAATCTCAATATACTAGTAAATATTGCTTATCATATCGTGATGTAATAAACTAAAGTTATTGTCATAGGTGAAATCATGGCAAAGAAAAAATAACAATTTTATATGTAAAATCCTGACATACCATTAGAAACTAATATAAAGTTAGTGTATCTCATCTTATCTAACAAATGAAACTGATATAAACACCATACATAATCATGACATCTTGATGAAAGAAACAAAAACATAATCGATATCATCAATATACCTTATTACAATATCAATAGTTTAAAAGCTAGTGTTTTTATTATAATAACCGATGCAAGGTGAATATAAGTAATTATTAATTAACTTTTCAATTAGTCACGTTTTCACTTCAAATGTAAGGTTATAATATGAATTCACCACGACATTATGAACATAAAACAAGGCCATTATGTAAAAAGTACGGCCTTTATGAGAAAACTTGGCTATTTTGAGACAGGAGAACTTTGATTGGCTCTCCAGCTCGGCCATTATGAATCTTCTTTTTTATTAATTGAAAAAAGCCACCATTTTGAATTGCTTAAAACAAGAATCTCATTTGCAATACCTCACAACAACGGAATTCCACATTTTTTTCACTAAGTACTTAACTTTTTTAGATTATGTGCAGTTAATAAAATTGTCAATAATTAAGTGTTTTCATAATGACCTAGTTATTGGGCTTTTAGACTGTCATTATAGCCTTCGGCCTTTGGCTTCAAGCTAATATTACAGTCTTCAGCCCATTAACAAGGCCATTATGAAAATACTTAATTATTAACATTATATTAATTTTAACTTTAGGGCATTTTCGCATTCCGGGTCTTCCAAATTTTAAAGACTATGCATGATGCATTCGATTTAGAAGCAATACATGTATATGGATATATCTTCCAATAAAAATACTCGGTAAATGTGTTCAAAGGTTGGCTAGCGTCATAATTAAAGCACTGTACTCGCTAATACGATTTATATGGGTCAAATCCTCTATCTACTCTCATACTGAAAAACTCTTGTATATGTTATTTCTAGTTACGTTACCCTATATGACATAATATAGTAATATGACATGACCGAATTTTTTATCATTAATTTAAACTGGAACAGCATGGCATCATAAACGATATTGATATTGGTGTCGTGTGTTTTATCACGGTATCATATGTGACATTCATTTTGGTGGCATGACATTCATTTTGGTGTCGTGTGTTATATTAGGGTATCATATGTGACATTCATATTGGTGTCGTGTGTTATATTAGGGTATCATATGTGACATTCATATTGGTAGTCGTGTGTTATATTCACGGTAATCACCATGTGAACATTTTATATTTGTTGTTATGTGTTATATTAGGGGTATCCATATGTGACATTTCATAAATTGGTGTCGTGTGTTAATAATTAGGGTATCATTATGGTGGACATTCATATTGTTTGTCAATGTGTTTATATTAGGGATCATATGTGACATTCATTATTGGTGTCCGTGTGTTTATATTAAAGTATCATATTGACATTCATATTGGGTTGTCAAATGGGTTTATATTAGCGGTATCATATTGACATTCATATTGGTGTTCGTGTGTTTATATCACAGGAACTTGAACGTTCTATAAATAAAATTGAAAAATATAAGCAA